GATCAGTTGTGCAGCACTTGCTACATACGGTCATGTTCATCATGTCCGGAATATCTATACAAGTTTCAAGGCAGAATTGTTCACAAGACCTGGTATACATTTCCATTACAGTGTCTCCTATCGTCAAAGCCGTTTTTGACAACTGCAAGTAACAAAGAAATACAGGGTTCACAATCGACGTAGTCAAGCCACACTACACATATTGGTCAATACAAGTGATATATACTGTATATGCACATTCGACAGGCAGTATGTGACGAATGGTAATGATTTTTAAAGTGACACATTGGACAAATTTACTTTATGGCCTTCACAGAAAAGTCTCTAAGGCAACATCGACCCAATACAAATGCTACTATATTAATTTATCGCCATAGTTATTTTTTATAAAATAATCAAACGTAATGAGATTTTTACCATACATATCCCTGAGCACCTTTAGTGTTTTCCCCAGAAATGTGATTGTTGGAGACGAGAACTAGTAAAGCGATACTCATCATGGAAAAAATCATGTGGACACACAAATATATTCAACGTTACTAATGATACTGTGAACGCACTTAATGTATGGGCTACATGGGAAAGACTGTCGCAACATCAACCCAATATGCTTCTATATTAATTGATTAATCAATCACCATAGTTGAATTATGAATTAATCAAACGTATTGAGATTCTTACCATACATATTCCTGAGCAGATAGCCTGAGGAATACTACTCGTGTCCGATAGCGTTTGTCTGCAGGTCGGATCTTGAGCCTGTGTACAGTTGTAACACAGCAATGCATTGTTACCATCTGAAAGTATAAATAACGAAATATTTACAAAAGTCATCACTAAATAAATGAAAGAGGTACACAACTGATTAATATGTATTATCATACTTGCCTTCTGGTTGCTTACCGTTGGCCGGTTGTACATCACCTTCTAGTTGTACATCACCTTCTGGTTGCACGTCGCTCGTCTGTGCAGTTTCAGCATAATTGCTATTGCAGAGATCAGTTGTGCAGCACATGGTACATACGGTCATGCCTAACACGTCTGGAATATCTATACAAGTGTCAAGGCAGAATTGTTCACAAGACCTGGAATACATTTCCACTACGGTGTCTTCTATCGGCAAGGTAATTTTTGACAACTGCAGGTAACAAAAAAATAAAGGGTTTATAGTCGACCTGAAAGCATTCTACACATATTGGTCCGTACAACTTGTGTAAATCCTCGATTTAATTTTTTAATATTACTGTATTTGGAATGTTGTTTTGGGGTGTTCCATATTCCAGTTGAATGTATGTATGTATATATATATATATATATATACATATATATATATATATAAGTCGTTGAAACAAAAAATTATGACAACAAGGCATGTAGACTGTAGAACACTT